CGAATGAGAATGACTGCAGAGGGTATCTTATCCAGGAAAATAGGAATTTGCCTGAGTAAGATCAGGGCAAAAGTAAAAAAAATAAAATAAAAAAAAATCAACATTTAATCTATTGTGCATTACTTCTGCTGCAGAAGAAGTTGTGTAAGTACTCTGTGAAGTGGAATAAGAACATGTCCTCATGATGACCTTATCTACATTTCACATAAATGCGTTCCCAAATTTAACAGAAGCAAATCTATCCTTTTTACCATTAGACTGCTAGTCATTCTCAAATACAACCTCGATTTCCTTGCTCCATTACCCTTAGAGAAGTAAGCAAAGGACAATGGATAAGGCTTCTCCGGTGTAATAAAAAAGCAGCATGCAGCCTATAAGATGAAATTCAGAAACAGAACTCAGAAATAAAGAACATGATTTGCCATCTTAGGTTTTTCTCATTGTCTCACTCAACAAAATTTTAGAAAAGAGAAACACCTGATTTTCCTGCCTCTTTTCCTCTGTACCCTGGTATTAAATTTTTCTTCCCTTCTATCCAACACAGTGTTTTTTTTACCTACAGCAATATAATTTCTAAGTAGTTCAAAATATGAAATAGCAGTACTTGAGATGACAAGCCATCATTTCCACAGAGCAGTATGATAATTTTGGAAGGATGGGGAGGTTGGGTATGGATTCTAATTAACACTGATGAACCTGGCTCCTAAAGATTAAATTCCCAAATGAGTAACTGCTACCTTTCTACACACAGGTCTACCCAAGTTATTCTCATTAAAACAATTAAAAAAAATTATAAGCTTCAGTCTGTGTCAAGATATTGAAGGCTTTCCAAAACTGATTAAAAATATTAAATGAGGTATTGAACTACATTAAAAATCAACCTTTTTCATGTATTGAAAAGTAATGGTCCATAATTTGTATTCAAGTGATTTTATTTCCAGTGAATAATAATTGTACTGCAGCCAACTTTGTGCCCTGTTTCTCTGAAAACCTCAAGGGATGCACAGGAGAGGATTTTGTATCCTGTTGAAGACACACACACACTTGCGTGACATTGCTTCTTATTCCTCAGTTCTTACAGGGAGGCTTAACTTCATTTCATTACGTGTTTATTTTCCCACTGATGGTTCCTTCAAACTGGTAAACACAAATGAAAGTGCATAGGTATTAGATATACTGGTAGACTCTGGAAAGTACTGTAAGCTAAATGCGAGTGCATGGAAACAGGGGACTCAACCTAAATGCAGTAGTAAGTGGACTTGCAAATCAGGACATCTTTAACAACATATTCTTGTTGCCTGGCTTTCTCTGGGGAACGTGAAGTTGCCTATGGCCACGTGATGGTCAAAATAAAACCAAAATGTCACACAGAAGTGCCCATCGCTTCATGTGCCCTGACTCTGCAGAAGCTGGGGAAATGGTCCTTTCCCACCATTCTCCTTCTCTGCCTGGTCAGGCTAGGCAGCTTCTCCTCTGCCGCCCAATTTTTCCTCCTTCGAGTCTCATGTTTTATGTCACACCTACATCCTGCACTCACATCTCGCTTCCCCTATCTGCATCTTTTTTCCCTTGCAGCCTCCTGTGCAGTCCAGTTTTAAGTTCAGTTAAGCAGCTGTAGAACTTGTCTAGGCCAAGTTGAGAAGTACAGGCTTTGGACCACGATATCACTGTGAACACATTTTAACAGCTGAAAGTAGAAAAAATATGTGTAATGACAAAATTAGGCCTGCAGACAGAAAATGAAGGCTATAAAAGTTGTCCAGGTGGTGGTGATCAGTGGCACAAAGTCCTACTGGAGGCCAGTCACTAGTCATGGACCCCCACAGCCAATTCAGGGGCCAATGCTGTTTAACATCTTCATTAATGACCCAGATGATGGGGCAGAGCGTACCCTCAGCAAGCCCGGAGATGATACAAAACTGGGAGGAGGAGTGGCTGATCCACCAGAGAGTCGTGCTGGGGGACCTGGACAGGCTGGAGAAGTGGGCTGACAGGGACCTCAGGGAAGTTTAACAAGGGGAAATGTAAACTCCTGAATAGGGGGAGGAATAACCCCAACACCAGTACAGCCTGGGGGCTGACACAAGATTTTCAGGGAAGGATCCGGGGGTCCTGGCAGACAACAAGCTGACCACAAGCCAGCAACACCTCACGGTGCCTCCTACACTGACCCCCAGAGCACACTGACTGCCTTACCTAGCCCACCTCAGCCTTTTATTTCAGCAGGCATAAAGCTCCACCACCTGCCCTCCAGATACCCTGTCCCCAAGCTCTCTGCCCCTCTCCTGCTTCCCATATTCTCCTGGCTGCTCTTAGGCAGCTTTCTGCCAGTCTCATTTCTGTTTCCGTCTCACTTCCCAGACACCACTGTAGCCTGCTTGTCAGCCTGCTTTCCCTCACGATCATCCTATATGGCATCTCTACTCTTCCCATGGCCGCTAGGGAGACAAGGTCTTTCCTGGCCATCACCTTTAGCACCACCCTGAACACGAGAGGCCTCATTTTGCCTGCAAATGTTCACAGGACCATGACAGCTTTTGTGCTGAGAGCAGCTTAAAACTTCTGTCCCTAACAGGGGACAGTGAACATTTGATGCAAAGGAGAAGTTTTACGAGTTTGAAAGCAGAAATTTTAAAAAAGCACGGAAATTCTTACAAAACTGTACTCGGAGACATATGATACAAATAACAAGAATGGAAAAATACTTTGAAATAAAAAGAAGTGTGATTGAAAATTACAGGGAGGGTGGATTAGCCCACACTGACTGAAAAAAATTTCAGTCTCGGTTAGTATTTCTCCCTGTAGCAATACCAGTGGGCTACCAATTTCATCTTGTGCCACTTGGGATGGAAAATGTTAGAAGAACAAAGGAAATGTCAGGATAAGGAAAAAAAGCTGGGCACTTTTATCACCAGGACTCTCAGCCCTCCAACATGAGATCTAAACATTTTCTTTCATTAGCTCATTTCAAACCCAACATCTATAGTACCTACTGTTTTTCCTCTCAGTAATTTGTCCATTTTTTTTTTATAATCTCTTAGCTCTTTTTAAACCTACCAGACAGTGGGTTTTGTCCACCTCCTTCGACTTAAGTTAAATGTTTATATTATGTTATCAAATACTGTTTCATTAATACTGCTTCATTAATACTGCATCCCATAAAAATCTGTGAGAAGTTGGTGGACACTTTAGTAGTCACCCCGCAGTCCACTCTCTCCTACCATAGCCTACATTGCCATCAGTGTCTAAGCAAGTTATTTTAAAGCAATCTCAAATAGGCCTACGTGTCTAGAAACCGCAGTGTAAATTTACCCATATGCATCAGCATGGATTACATACAACAAATGAAAGCTTTCTTTCCTGAGGTAGGCGAATTTGGAATGCAAATGGCAAATCCTGAATTTCAGACAAACAAATGATTGCCTATCAAAACTCCCTTCCAAACTAGTCCTTAGAGTATTGCATACATGTAAAGGGGGAAAATTTGAAAGATCCAGACAATTGCCACAGGCATCTTTAATTCTAACAACACTTCCCACTTGCAGATAGAAGCACAAGTCTGAAAGAGGTAATATAGCTAAATGGATATTAGTACCTGCCATTACCTGATCTATCTGCACAATTACAGCAGTTTGTGAATGCTAAATTTGCTTATCAAATCTGGCTTAGGAGCCTAAAACAACCCCTTTTCAGGGACAACATATCACCTACATGTTGTTTGGAACTGATGGAACTTTAACTGAGAGAAAAACCACATGGGTATAATGCCTGAAAGAGCTGAGAGAAGTAATTGCTTCCAGAGAGATTTCTTTCCCAAACCAAACCAAAGGGGGAATACAACAGTCAACTCAATTTCTGAAAAACAGGCATTAAGAGGCCAGAGAACTCCACCAAAAATTAGATTTTTCCTCTCCTTTAACAATGCCAGCAACAAAAACGTTAAACATCTCAAGACACACCACGGCTGTCAAATAAGAGTAAACAAACATTGTCTCTGCTCTGAGAAAGTCACAGGGATTCCACCGAAGGGAGTCGTTTATTCCTACAAATACTATAAATTGTTTAAGTCATGGGAGCTCCACTCATTTGCACAAGAGGATGTTGTGACCATCTTTGTATTGACATACAGGCCCCTCAATACACCCCAGAAAAAAACCATCACCCTTTATTCTGCCCAAACCAACCATTTCCTCCCCACCCACAAAGATCAAACAGAAAATCACAGACTGCGTAAGCAATAAAGCAAGGTGTCCTAGTGGCATAAATGGGATGTGAAATAAATGAACATAAAATAAGTCCAAGAAGAAATCTTTCATATCTACTGCTGATAACAGAAATGTTGTCTGGAAGCTTTTTCAGACATGTTCTCATCCTTGTAGCATGGCTGGGTTTCTGCAGATGGTGATTCTTTAAGGAAGCAAACCTCAGTCTTCTCAGAAATTGGTTTGAAACAGAAACAGATACTATGAATTAAAAGGAGAGTCTCCTTGCTGTATTCTCACCTATTCCACAAATTTCATGTGGTTTAAGTAATTTATTTAGATTGCAAAACTACTTTGACAACACTGAGGATGGCAGAACTACTTCTGATCCCAACCACTTCATTTAATCATTGCCAAAGAGAAAGAAGTCAATGAAATATGAACAGTTAGGAGTAATATACCCACCTAGCCAAAAAAAAAAGAAAAAAAGAAAAATATCCAGACTTCGTATGTGGACACTCGGGGAAAAAAAGTCAGTGAAATAATATATACCACTAGAAAATGTATCATTGTAGGAGGTGTTATGGTCCTGAAGACAGTGTGCATTTCACTGCTGAGATATCTTTACATTACTGTGAGACTGCTATTTGCAATATACTATGTCAATGTTAAAAAAAAAAAATAAACATGCAAACCAGTACGTTAAAACTGTGTAAAGAGACAGACACAATTTGCAGTTCTAAGGCATCATTGACCCATCCAAGGGAGCATGTCATAAAAAGCGTAAAAACCACTTACCTCTTCTTGCTTAGGAATGCTGAACTTGGCTATCTTTGACTTGGTCCTGGCTGAATCAGGCTTGTTAGAAGGCACTCCCCTATACGACTTGGTTGTCTCTGCTGGTAACTTCAGCTTTGGAGACTCATCAGGAGCCTGGTCTTGACCGTCCATTGGCCTTACATAAGCTGTTGGTTTTTGTTGAACCAGACTGGGCTTCGAAGCAAGAGAGGGCGGGAAGTTTTGGACGCAGTGCCCACCACCATGCTTTGCTGGCCTCTCTTGCGCTTGAGCTCCTCCTTCTGAGCTACAACTGAGCTTTGCCGGCTGCTGCACTCTGTTGACGTTGTCTCCTAGCGTGGCCCTCAGTGAGCTTTGCTGGGCAGTGTTGGAGGAAGAGGAGGAGGAGGTGGGACTCGATGCATAGCGTTTTAGTTTCTCCAGACTGGATTTTTGGTTCGCCAGTTTGAAGTCACCCTTGTGCGACTCCATCGACCGGTGCCCGTGCTTGCTCGCTCTCTGCTGGCCATCCGAAGCGGCGTTGTGCCCGGCCTTCTGCCAACCCATCGTGGTGCTTTTGCTCTGCTGGGCAGATAGGGCTGCTGGTGTGGAAGAAGTAGTGCTGGAAATGGGAGGAGGAGGCGGTGGTCTAGAGTCTGCAATAAGATGGTCATCGGGCTTGGGGAGAGACGTCTGAGGAACCCCAGGTTTTGGAACCCCAACAAGGTGGCTCTGGTTTGATCGATCAGTTAGCAAGTCTTTCATTTCATCATAGTTGCCCAGCGTATTCTGGATGCGATTCGAGAGCTCATCCCCCTTGTTAGTCTGCAAAACAAAAATCGAGCATTCTGCAACAGTCTACATAAGAAAAACAAAATTCCCTGTATGCTTCTGCTGAAATCCTTACTGAAGTAGCGCTGCCTTATTCAGCAGCTGTATTGAGGGATGAAATCGAAAATCCTTATTGTCTCTGAAGACACTTGTCAACATCTTAAATCTACCCTGAACTGGAAAAGCTATAAAGGGCCTTAGAGTATATAAAAAAAGAAATCTATCACTGGTATCATGCTGTAGTTAAAGTATATTACCTGGAAACTAGAAAATTTATTATTGCAACTACACAGAATGGTTTGGATTAAATCTGACCATGATAAAACTTTTCCTACAGCCCAGTGCAAGCTCTCCTTCAGCCATGAATGAAAACACTGCATTCCCAATCTCCTTCTCTGCCTGCCTAAGTTTTTCACATGCTATCTGGGAAGCCACACAACATCCAGTGTAAGCACTGAACGAAATCACCAGTCTAAGCCAACCAAATATTCTGAAGGGGTTTGAAGACAGCTCGTGGGACAATGGGAAAACTACATATTATTGTGTCCCTTCTTTGAAAATGCTCTGACAGGATGCTCGCTCCAGGACACTCTCCTCTTTTTAAAAAAAAAAAGGTGAACAGAACCCCCCGAATTCTTCACATTGCTCAGTGCTTGCTGTGTGCAGCAGGGGGAACACAGCTACCCTCCCTCCCCTTTAAGATTAATCTTTGTCTTTAAAATCATCCATTTACCTCCTGACTGAAAAGGCAGAAGCTCCACAAAGAAATAAAACAAGCAAATAAAACGTACTGCAAAAGATTGAAAACTTGCTTTAAAAAGCCATTGTAAGCAAAAGGGTGTATCATTAGCATTTATGCAGCAGAGATTTTTCTGAACCCTGCCAAGATTCAGGCATGTGATGTTCTTTGCTCTATGTTTTCAGAGGAAGACAGTAATGAGCCAGTAGTGTTCTTCTTTCTCTCTTCCAGACATGGGGTCTGGATGGGAAAACTCCCATTGGCTTCAGAAAGCCAAGCTTTCATCTCAAGACTCTCTATTTTAGAGGAAAACAGAAAGAAGGAGAAAGAAAGGAGTAAAGGGAGTGGAGAAGACCCCCTTAAAATTCTGTAAAAAAATAAGAAAGATGTAGCAGCAACATCAGCTACTCTGGAAAACTGGGGGGATTTTTGTTTTTAAGCCTTCAAATAAAAATGAGTCACTCAAAAATGTAAGGGAAACTCCCCTATTCAGAATCTTTTTTTTAGGGTTTTCTATTTGAAAACCTGAATCCAAGCAAAACCGCGCTGTAAATGAGTGCAGTGATTGCCACATGCTACCTTTCAGAGGACTGCAGTGGAAGCATTCCTAAGTCAGACAGCAGAAGCCATTCTGTCTTGCTTGAAGCTTGTCCCCTCGAATTTCAAGGACACTACCTTGTAACGACGTATAATACATTACAGATAGCTTTCTGATACGCATTCGTTACAACGCTAACGGAGTTGAATGTATATCAATAATACATATCAAAGGGAAGAGGGAAAGGAAAAACTCAAAAGTGTTGCATCTGAAACATTGCTTTGCAAACTTGGAATAAGACGGCTCAACCACTACAGCCTGATCTTCTCTCTGCATATGCAGCTGTTGTTGTCACAAGGACAATAACCTGCTTTGAAAAGAAATATGAACCATTAATTCACAGACTTGAGCAAGTGGCTTAAAAACCAGGGTGTTCCTTCGCTTCGTATCAATCACATCAATGTCCTAATGAAGAGGAAACTATTGATGAGGCTTCAAAAGCGGGAAGCATCACATATATCTAAAAAGAAAGAATGTTGGAGATCTACTCATGTGTCTCCTGGGGTCAATGAAATGGCTTCTACACTTGGGCATCCCCTTGACCAGCAGAATTACTTTCCAGAAGGCACAGAGTGGATCTTGTCTATGCTTCCAGTGGATCCTCCACCTCGTGTAGATACCTTGTAGAGAGATGTGCTTCCAGCTTCCCTCTAGGGAGGGAGATCTGCCCTTGGGCCTGCACCCAGCCTGATTCAGCCAGCCTGTGTGTTCAAGGTCTCCTTCCCTGCCAGGAGCATGGCAAAAGGACCACCAAATGGGACGGGGCTCCTGACTCCCACACGTCTCCTACAGCACAGACAGCTTGTGGGGCAGCTCTCCACGTGGCTGCCTCTAGGTCCACGAATGTAAGAGAATTTATGTGCAAGTTCTGCCCCTGGAAAGTCCAACTTCCCTAACAGAAGGTCCATTCTTTCCGATGGCTGCTATTTGGATGGGAAGTAAATAAAAGCCTAATTTCAGATTATCTGCAGACTATCCCTAGCCCAAAGAAGTCAGCAGATTGTCTTCTATATGGATGTGAAGTGAAGGTCACACACCTCATATGGAGAGATCCCAGATAACCACAAGAATAACTGCAGTAAACCAATCTAATGCCTGGACCACGGCACATCTTGGCAACTGGTTGGTGTTGTTTATTCCTTCTGGATACACTGGGGACAACCTGAGGTTGGAAGATTTTGTGTTGAGCTGATCTCATCCAGAAGAGTTCACCTGCATCCTTTTGGGAACAAAATGGGATCTGAGGTGACTTGTTATGAGCTTTAGATGTAACAGTTTTTCCTATTATTTGCTCTGAAATATTACTGTCTTACTTAATCATTCACACAGGGAAAACATGGTCACAAAATGAGTAAGTAGGAAAAGCATTCTGTGCAAGCATTTCTAACTTACAGTGCTCCGATATTCTTCTGCAATGCAAGATATATCCATGCATTTGAAGACTACAAGATTCAATACTTAAATCTGATGGTTGGATGGAAGATCATCAGAATTTTTTTTTCATTAAAAATACTGACATGGTTAATGAGGCAAGGTATTCTGTTCAGTAAATATCCTGAATGAAACTTCTACTTTTTACCCCCTGTAAAAGACATTTTAAGTAAAAGATACTGGATTTCCCGTAATCCTTCATAAAGGGTTGCTATGGATACTTTGAACAGGATAAGGGGCAACCCGAAGAGTCAGGCTTTTTCAGAAAATCTGATGTTACAGGAGTAGTGATACATGTCAAGGTGAGAAAGGACATAAGATTTAAGAGATTTCCAGTCTGCCTTTGATTTTCACATATGGCCTTCTGAATGGCAAATCCTTTGGCTTTAGCTCATGTTTCTCAAGCTGTGCAGAGGAATACTGAATTTGATCAGAGCTTGCAGTGAATGTCTGCTGTAACTTCCTTCCCCTCTAGAAACACCAAAAACTTGAACATGATCTTTAAAGACAGTAAGGTGGGTTTCAGTTTTGCTTTTGCAGAAAGATCAGAAAGCCCAAGCCACAGCTCCGCGCCCCCGCACTGAAGGTTCACAAATGCATGGATGAGTTCAGACGGCGCAGTGGTCCACCACCAGTGTACACATGGCACACAGAGTACGCCACTGCTGAAGTTTTGCTGTCCAGTACTGTCAGAATGACTGGTCACCCCAAGAAGCTGTGATTGTCACATCAACAGAGCTGTGGGTGAGTTATACTGCTGTCCCAAGCTTTGCCTTTCTCCATGTTTCCTTGACAAAGCCACCTGTAGGATGGGTTTCTGCAGCACCTTCTTTACATGCTTGGCCAAAATAGGGACACAGTCTTTAAAGATAAGAAACACAGATGGAGCCATTATTCTGATCACCCCATAGGATACCCACTCAGTATCCTCTCTGCTTCTAGAGACAGCAATGATTTTTCATCCACTCCTATTAAAGTTGATGAAATTACACTGCAGTTGCATAGAGATGCCTTTGGACATCATAACTCAGAAACCACTGGTGTGTCCATGATCCATGAAGTCTGTTACAGGACAGTCAGTACATTGGCACACGGGGAATATAATCCAAGTGCACAAAATATTCCAACTATACCCCTTTTATAAGTGACTTGAGCTTCGGTATTACCAACTTCAGGTACCACAGACAAAATGGTATCAGGGACCCAGAAAAAGGACAGGCCCTTTTTGTGAGGGGTCTATTTGATTGGACTGACCAAATGGAAAATTATTAAGTTCCCATTGCAGCAGAGCCCTCACAAAATGCCAAGACACAACTGACTTAAGCTTTTCAGGCTTTTTTCCATGGATTAGCCCTTGATTGGTCTCACAGTAGACTTTTTCAGGTAGAGACTTGAGGAGTTCAAGACATTTCCCGTGGTTTCTAAACGCCTTTGTAATGAATCTGAAATTCGGGCAGCTGGAGGTCAGCTTCAAGGCAGACAGAGCTGCCTTCTATCAAGGGACATGGTTTGAAAGTGGTAGATCGTTCTTTTTTATTAGGGACTAGAAACAAACAACAATCTGGAAGAACAGCAAGCTAAAAGCTGACCCTGGAGCATGGGCAGAAACACAGGAGCACGGAAGTCAGGTGCAGAAGCCATGCGCCAGGTCCCAAATAGGACTCCTGGAAAGAGGCACTAATGCGCCCAAAGCATCAAAGACAAGTGATGCAGTATGGAGGGAAAGGCTTCACAACGTGGTGGTTGCAACAGTAACTTGGACATTACTGGAAAGGCATGGAAGATGATACATGATGATGCTTTGATGCACGTGGGCAAAGTCACTGGCTTAGCTGGGGGAGAGGAGCAGCCCCCGTGGGATATCGCTCTCTGGTCCTCTTCACAAGGCCTTGGTTTGCAGGCTTCTGCAAAGCGCAGAAGATCCTGCTTGACCCTTCTAACCGGGAGTGGGGAGACATGGCTGTGCCTCATCACGCTATTGTTATCACGAGGAATAAAAAAGGGAGTTGAGACTCATAAGTTACTTCTGCCTTTGGTGAGGACAAAACATGTCTAGCAGGCAAATTTTGTTGGTAATGCTCATAGGGGAAAAAAAAAAAAAAAACAAGCGCCAAGATATTTCATTGCATTAACCTTGGCCAGAGCACAATGTTTACTGTATTGCTTGACCTTCACACACAATTCTAACACAACTGTTTTCTTCTAAGTGTTGCAAAACCAGGGCACCGTCACCTTCACTTCCTGGCTTTAATTCCATCTCAAAGACTGTTAAGATATTTCTAGTTTATTTCATTCTTGTGTGCTGCTGAACATTATAAGAAGCTTTTAAATATATATATATATATAAAAATATATGCACACACACACAGATATAGATATAAAATCCGATTCTCAATGAACTGTAAATGTTCTCTGCGAATTTTGTGAGGCTAGCACTTGGGGGAGGGTGCGGAAACCCGGACAATGTCTTCTGCAGGCTGCGGTTTTGTACCGTGGGATAAATAAATAAATAAAGTGCCACCCAGCTGGGAAGCATCTACCTTGTACGGTTCACTGAAGAGGGAGTAACTCGTGTTAAACGCGCCATCCTCCTGCTGGGCCTCCTGATTTCTCCTTTCCCATTCTTTCCTTCGCAGCACGTTTCTATCCGGCTCGTAGACACTGCAGCAAGAAGAGGAATAGCTTTTTAAGAGTTAAAAGTTAGTGGGTAAGATATAAGCCAGTGTGAATTTAAAAGCAAAGCACTCTGGTTTGCAGACAGATGGCAAAAATAAGCAAGAACATGAATCAGATGAATGCCAGTCCAAGCAGGCTGGGGAGGCTCAGGTCTCCGGGAATGCTGGTGCTTTCTTCACACAGAGAATAGATAATTAAATTCTTACAGAAGAATAAAAAAGAAATCACAGGGCAGGATCTAGTCCGTGCAGAACTTCTCTGCTTGAAATGTGACAAAGGAAATATCTAAGCAACTTTGACAAAGACTGAGAGTACTCTTAAGGCAGATGGTAATTACAGTTATGAGTAAATAGAAATTATGAACATATTTCCACTTATGACATATCCTCTGAGTGTTGTATGAGAATGCTCCTTTTTTCACATGGATGTGTTTCTGTAGTGATTCTTTCATTAACTAGCTCCCTAAAGAGCTGTTAAAACTACATGCTGTAGTGGTTTCCACAGTTAGGCTGCTTCTTCTGATCTCTGTTAATCAGCCAAGTCGTGAAACTACTACTGAAACAATTCCTCTTTCTGATGGATTTGACACTATCACAACTTCAGAGCATGAATAAATGAGTACTGGCACGATAGTGTATGTATGGCTGGTAGAGTGTAGCTGGAGAGAGAATAAAATCACTGCATTACACAACAGTATTAATTTTTAGAAATGAGCTAGACTGGCTCCAATATAGACATCCAGAATAAAAATTAACTAATTTTTTTCAGAATTCTAGTTTAATGCATGACAACATAAGCCAGAGAATCCTTCCCCTGAATATCCGCAGAACAACACGGGTTTGCACATTTCAGTCTGTTATGTTTTATTCTCCTCACAAAGGAAACCAATGTGTCTAACAAGGTTTACATGTTATTTCAGGACAATGTGACGAGGATGCCGATTGCTTATTTTGCTTAGCTCAGCTAATGCCTTTCTTCTGGCACCGTAAGTCTGTAAAGTAGAAATATATATTAATGTCATGTAAGTGCACCATGTGTTAATAAGAGAAAGGTTGTCTTGCTAACTAGCTTCCCAGTTAGCAAAACATATGTTGCATCGGCTACCCACGTGACGTTACCTAGGATGCCTCAGGCAAGGCAGTCAAAAGGCCAACAGCTATCTGATTCTAATTCAAGACTTGAGAGAGCTGAAAATACATAGGATATGTCAGACGCTATTAGTATTTAAAAACAATGCCTTAGCAGTCACCAAACGAAGGCAAAATCTGATGTTTGCTTGTTAATGCTGCTAACTCAAACTGGACTGCGGAGTACCCTTCTGATGGGTCTGAGGGCATCTGAGGGCAGATGCCAAATGCCAAGCAGGGCTCTCAAACACGGGCGTTTATTGGGAAACACAGGGTTTCAGTAGAGCAGGTTGGAGGCAGCTTCCAACCAGCAGTTTGTTTATTCCGCTTACGGGTGGTTGAGCTTTTTTGGGTTTTATGCCATATTTTTCATGAGCAATGCACATTATTCACGCCAGCACCCCCTCTTTGAAAAGCAGTGTAATGAGGAGGCAATCGTAGGGGTGGGGGTTTGGGCGTGGAAAATGCCTTCCTCCAGGAAGAAAGGTATAGCAAAGGCCTTGGCCCAGGGTCCCTGTGAGCAGAGATCATCTGCTGCGCACTGCCAAGGCCAGAGGCAGGGCAGTTGTCATTTACTGCTACGTGAGCAATGGTGCTCAGTCACCTACATCGTGCTCTCTGAGTGTACTCCCATCGGTACCAACAACCCCTGCATCTAAAGTAGACTTTCTGCCACCCTGAATAATCATTGCCGGGTTGGGTTTTCCTGGAGTTGCGGGGATCTGCAACTTCATCCTCAGCCACGTTTCCCCATCCAGAGCCTCTTGACTCTTTGAGACGCTTTGCATTCGGACTCTAGCCTGCAGTCAAATAGAGATGGGCAGCTCCCTTGAGATTAATTATAATGCTGATCTCTACCCGGTTTCTAGGAAGTAAACAAGTGCAGCATTTCACTAGGCCTCATACAAATTTAAAAATGCCCTGGTGCGCTACTCCTAAAGTGGAAGGACATTTTTATCCCTTTATTTGATGGAGACTTATTTGATGAAGACATGCAAGTCGTCAGATCTCTGAACCCCCTACCCGAACGGGAAGTGCACTGTTGGCAATGCAATGCACAACCTGCAATAATTCAGAATGATTATGCAAATGGCAAAACCGAGTGACAATGCCTAATAAGCCATCTATAAGCAGTAAGTTCGGAAAAGCTACAAGTTGATAGTTGTATTCTTTTGGTAATACCAGATGGCAAAATCTCTGGCATTTGTGAGGCTGCTCTGTATTTGCATGAACATTGCAACAATCACATTTCCTTGAACATATGTCACGAAATGTATTTATTTATTTTGGTTTGAGGAGAATACTGCCAACTGCTATAATTGTCTTTATTGCAAACACTTCAGTTAATGGAAAATGATTCTTTTTAATAGTTTTCTTCCTTCTTTTTTTTTTTTAAATTTGTAATTTTAAACAATCCCAAATGCACATGTACCTTTTTAATTGTTTACAGTGTGTGTCTTTTCCATAGATAAGCCATGAAGAACAAGTTCATGAAAATCTCAAGATTTTTTCCTCACTGGGGCATGTGTGCATATGTGGGTGCTGTATGTATATATATATGTTATATGCATCCTTGCACACCAGTGTATTGATGAAGAGTTTTGCTAGCATGGGTCAAAATGTCGAAGCAGTTTTGCAAGACTTGGAAACCAAAGAACATGCAACCATTCATCTCTCAAAAGTAAGTGTCATTTATATTTGTTTCATACAGGTCAGGCTCCAAAAGGATGAATTTAAATAGTTTTTAAATGGTATATTGTTATTTTTAAAATGCTGCATCTGTTTCAAATTCCTGTTTAAAGGACATGAACTGAAGCATGAGTAACAAGTCACACACTTGCAAAAGGTATATACGAATATAAAAATTACACTCTCAAATTTAGCACTCCGCTTTAAAAGCACACTTGTGATTTATCTCAACCCTAAGATCTGCCAAGAGACATACTGGAATAACCAATGACTTATGTCTAAACACCAGTGTCTCGGGCTCCAAAGCACTTTCAGCACACACCATCACCACTGCACGGTCACAGCAGCCCTACCTTCTCTGCTTCTTCTAGGATACTTCGAATAATTTCACTCAAGTAGATTTTCAGATCAGAAGTCCAATGGACCACCAAGCCTCTCAGAGTAGGTATGTTTAATAAATTTTGATCCATTGTGATAATTTTTTGAAAGATTCCCTTGCTGGCCACCCGTTCTTTGGCTATGTGCTAGGTGAGCGCGTCTCCCCATGAGACCAGCCTGAAGAGGAGAGCCCAGGCACACTGGTGCCCAACGGGAGGGCGGCTGCAGCACCAGCCTCCCTGTAGTACTGAGGGAAATGCTCATAGCTTTCTTCACGCTACTCCTGCCACCAGAAGGAACCGCTTCCTTTAGTCCTTAATTAGAAATAGACAGAGACGGCTCAAGGGACAGCCTAGGAGCAGAGCAATAACCTTACCTGAAAAACCTGGGACTGGATTTAATCTCCTACAAAGTCCAAAGAGTTATGTAGTCTCAGGCTAGGCTGAAAGCAATCACATAAAAAGCCTAAAGTTTTAGGTGTTGAAGAGAATCCTTTTCTTTCTTTCTTTTTTTTTTTTTAAAGCACACTATTTCTGACTCAGTTTACCTCCCTCAAACATCGCTACTTGGAACAGCTCAAATAAAAAGGTCTAATCTCCATGATGGACTGGGTGGAGACAATGCACCAACACAGCCTCCTGTCCGTCAGTTTTAGGGAACACCCAAGTTTGGCATTCAGAGGAAGATGTCCTTTTCCACAAACAAAAGCGCTGCACCTTCACCGAGGAATTACACGCCTTGGCGGATGTATGGTGCGCATTAACGATGCTGCTTGGCCTTCTCAGAAACCACAAAATTGCCCCATCACCCAGGGGGCATTCGGGAAGGCTACCGTTATTTTGCTATGAGATCACTGTCCTCCTCACAGCTGGCATCTCTGAGGCTGTAAAAGACAGGGGGATGTAAACTGAGGGCAAGCTCACCAGTGCTCCCCTTGCCTCACACCAGTTTATTTTCTGGCAAAGGAAGAGGGCAGCGACTCAGGCTGACAGAGGAAGGTGTTACCGCACGTATACGCACACCTGGTGACAATTACTGAACTCGTTATGGTTTACAGCAACCTGCAACCTCACCTTTGCCTTTCCAGACCTTCCAATATCATTTTCCAGTCCAAAGATTTAGTTCATTATTCTCTGAATTGACAGGGCCTTGCAACACCCCCTCACACACACACACACCTTCCTTCTACCTCCCCACGCACATAAATATTGTGATACAGATTTAGCAGGAGTAGCTTGTTTGCTTGCAGTTAATGTTCTTGACCCAGGAGGCTGATCTCCCTCACCCCAGCAGCTACGTGCGGCGCTTCACACAAAACTTCCAGAACCTGAAGTCCAGACATATTAGTAACAAAAGCAGAGCCTCACGCTAACACGCAACAATTTCTTAAATTGGCAAAACAGCAGTTCCCGCGGGCTCCCGGCAAGTGTTAGCTAGGGAATTCTTAGGTACCGCTTGTGAGGGCTGAGCTTTTTCCCCAGATTTTGTTGACTTCCTCATTTGTGCCCACCCTGACCCTTCTTCTTCCATAATCAGCTTAAGAGGCTCCATACAAAATGCTGTCAGACCGCAACACCCAGGGACACGATACCGTCCCTGAGCTGCCAGGTGGAGTCCCTGAACATCCCCTGGGGTGCACAGAGCTGGTCATGTTCCAACCAACCAACCAACGAGAAATTCCAAAACACAACCCACATCGTAAGCGACTAAAAGATACATGCGTTTCCAGAATAAAACCAGACCCGTGAACAAGTTTTCTGTGAGGACACATATATCTTTGAAATTAAATTTTAGCACACGGTCTTTTCTGAATTATGAACAAAGTTGGAACTGCTTCAAAACCACGAAGAACAGGCAGTATTTCAAGAAAATAAATTTTTAAGTGGTTTACTGATTATTCTCAACATTCCCCCACAAATTGTAATCTGGCACACAAGTCAATATACTAAATTTCAGGCTGAAGTGAGGACATTTTCTTTAATATTTAATAGTCTAATTCTCCCCTGAATAACCACATTTCTGCCCAAGTAGCTAAATAGAGTAACTCCAGGGAAAAACTTATACAACACAATAAAAAAACCAGTCCAACCCTCATGCAGGACAGTGATTATGAAACTGAATTCAGAATGGAGATTGGATGTTGAACTTAAACATGCTGTCATTCCCGTATCTTTGCAATATTTTAAAGCACAAAAGGACTAACCAGCCTGAGACCTGGTAAAGGCAATACCCCCAAAACATTTTTAGAAAACAGTCTTAATTCTGACAATTTATTTACAACAATTGAGGTTATTTTGCTTGCTGAATCGCTGTGCTTAACATGGAAGCACTATCATTTAATGCCTGCTTTCCATTTTACTGTTCAAGTCCATGATTTTTGCCGGCCAGTTTCTTGGTATGAGCTCCATTTTCAGCTAAGTATAAACCCCACCTGTTTGAAAACTAATTGCTAATGGGTTATGGGGAGCTCTTAGAGATGGCAACCTTATGGTTTTGAGCATTAAATGTTTTCCTTAACGACATCTGAACTGTCATCGGTTCGATTATAACGAAGGTGCTGCCTTTGATGAACAAGTGGCATAATCAATAAAATACCTCCCTAGGTTGCAACCGACTTTTTTAGACTTTTTATCTAGCTTAAACAGCAGAAGTTAATTTGAG